GACGCACGCCGACAATTTGTCGCCGACAACGCAGATTCACCGATTTGCCGCGGGGCACGCTGCTGGCAAACATCCCAGGCGTGATTGTCATTGTGGAATTGTGGAACCTAGGACCTATAGCTGAACTGACTTACCTGGTTCCCATAATCCGATGACCCATACCTCCTAACAGTAGAATCGGTTTTGTAGGGTTTTGTAGGGTCCTGGATGGGGGGGAAAAAACTTAAATATACTATAAACACTATAAACCACATACACATAACGCCGGGGGGGGGGGGGGTCATCCATGAGTTGAGTTTGGTTGCGTTACCACAAATCAGGGATCCGGAATCTTTTGATGTGACGCAGCGTGAGCGGCCCGATCGCCTCAGTCCAACAGAGGATGTGAATTGCGTTTGACACACACCAGGCGGCGGCCGAGGTGGAAAATGGGGCCGGCCTTGTCCCGTGCTCGTTCGAGAACCAGTTTTAAGTTAACAACTTTTATGTTTTACGATAAGTGCACCGAACCCATTTGCTCCACTTGTTTTCAGAAGAGCCCTCAACACTTGCGCTGCCTGACGCTGCTGAACGCGTGATATTTTGCAAGCGTTGGCAAGGGCTCATAAGGCGTCGACTTGTACAGGGGCCCACCCTGCACGCCCTCATCCACTCCCGCGCGCCAAGTACTGCTGCGCTTTTAACTTTTCACTTTAGCTTCATGGGACACATGACAGAATGGTTAGGTTTCATGATTCATAATGCTAGAATTACAATCGCAAATTGTTACGCGAAGCGGATGTCGCACGCTTGCGCCGCGCGCTCGCGAGTCACAATTTTACTTACTGTGCTGCTGTGCCAACAGTGTCGCGCTGTGACGTTCGTGCCTCCGTGCCGCGCCAATCACACCGCTGCGCCGCGCCACGTGAGCCATCGTGCTGCGCCGCTTGTGCCATTGCGCCATGCCGACTCGTAGCCTTGCGGTGTACCAGTCGCACCCTTGCAGCGCACCCTTGCGCAGCGCCAGTCGTACCCTCGCGCCGTACCAGTCGCACCCTTGCGCCGTACCAGTCGCACCCTTGCGCCGTACCAGTCGCACCCTTGCACCGTACCACTCGCGCCCTTGCGCCGTACCAGTCGCACCCTTGTGCCGTACCAGTCGCACCCTTGTGCCGTACCAGTCGTACCCTGGCGTCGCACCACTAGAAAATGTCATTGCCCCAGTATTTGCACATGCCTCCAGAGCATGACTCTTAAATTTAGCTAACTCAAAAGTCTCCGATGGAGATTTGTCGGTATGGGACATGGTTCTGGGGCTCCCAAACATGGACACTGAAAACGCTGCCCTCTCCGCTATCCAGCGTCCAACCGGGCCTCCCATGAGGTCGCCCTTCTTCAAGTCCAGAAACTCCGTGTCATCTACTGGCATGAATCAGGGGGTCCCGGCATCTCCCTCACGAGGGGAGCCCCGCCGCAACCACGCGTCCGCAAGCGGTACACAAGCCACCAAATCAATCTCCGCCGCAGTGGGCACAGCTCCGCAGCGCTCAATTTATTGTAGCCTGCTCAAATCCCCCTGGATGACAGAACAAACTAGGAGGACTGGGAGCCAACACAGTTGCAGAAATGGCTTCTGCAAAGGGCTTCCGACTCGAAGTATTAAGAACCTTCCGTGAGCAATGATAGTTTGTTTGCTCTTGCAGTGTTCCACCCCCACTGCTCCAAACAACCTTCAGGATTCGGTTTTAACAAGGAACTTTAACAGTTCAAAACCTTACCTAAAAGTTCTAGATTCAGTGTTGGCAATGCAAAAGTTAGTACTGGCAATAATAAAGTTCGTCCACTAAATTTTGTACTGGGAATACAAATTTTGGTACTGGCGTATAAAAACTTAGTACTGGCTGTGATAAAATTGGTACTCGCAGGACTCGTTCTTTTACCGCCCGCGTGCAACTCGAAGCCAAACATCCTTCCAGGAATCATTCTTAAGAAGGCTTAAACAATGCGAAATCTTCTTTATATGTACTGGGATTCGTATCGGCAAAATTAAGCTGTGTGCTGGCAATACTAGAAATAGTACTGGGAATGCTAAATTTAATACTGTGGGCAGAAATGTCGTTCGGGCCAGCCAACTACATGCACCTGGCTGCGCAACGTGCAAAGTAACACCAGCCCACGGTCTGCTCGTGTGATTCACTCGGTCTGTCACAGGTCTGGCGGGTCGGGCCGTGGAGGGGTGTGTGTTTCAACACTATCCATCTTGCCTAGTTGTCACCCTGCTACCAAGGCAGAATCTCGCCAGCAGCTCAGCATGCTTCCACGTGCCGCGGTGCCTTGCAGGGCCACCGTCAACAACCTGAGATACCCTCCAAATGCTGCTGAGCCTCTTCCGCTCACAAATCTGTCTTTCTCGCTGCCTTGCGTTCTCTCAGAACTTTTTGTGAGATGTTGTTTAAAAAAAGGGCCTGAGATTGCGTTCCTGACGCACAACCAGCATACGTAACCGATTAAGTACTTGGCGGGCAAGTTTTCTTGCGTCTCAGACACCAACCTAAGCCTGACCTAGGGGCCTGACCTAGGCTGCTCTGCTTCACTGGCAGCTCAGGTTTGAGAGGAGGAAGCCCTGCCAGTCTTCATCTTTCAAGTTTGCTTGCTCTCGCCTGTTTTTTTGCGCAGCAAGAAGTTCAGAATGAGCATGCTCTGAGGCGTGCAGCCTCAGCTTGCTGAAGGTGGCCGCCCTTCCCTCAACGCCTTCCATGCCTTTCCTCAGCGCAGCTTAGAAGCAAAGCTCAAGGCACTTTGCAAGCGGCCAATATGTGTGTTGCTTAGTTCAGGGCCCTCGCCCCTGGCATCGGTTCAAAACTGCGGCGGCGTAGCACGTTTTCCTGAAAGGGAAGATGTCATCAAATGGAGCAGAGTTCTTTTTGAAGCTCAATGACTGCCAGTTGCCGACGTTGTGCGACGGACGTGTTTGTTCCAGTCAGGAAGTCAAAGTTGGGACCTCTCCGAGTCCGCAGTCTGAGCGGCGAGACAGCAGTGAGATTGCTAAAGGACAAGTCAAACTCATGCTGCGTTTCAACAAGCAGGCGCATCAAGACAATTGGAACCGTCGCCTGTCACAAATACACCACTTGAGCTTGCGATTGAAACCTGCAGCAGGGCGCATGCAATTTGATGTTGCAAGATCCACATAACTCATCATTGGAAGTTACAGAAGCGGAACTTTAGCAACACAGATTAAGCAGCTTGCAAAAGAAACGCCAGTTCCATCTGAGCGAATCATGCGCTTTGTCACCGATGTAAGGCGGCTGCGAGCTCTACAGGAGATCGCGCGCAAGATCTCGCCTGACACCTTCTGATTCTCGAGCTTCCTGGGGCGTTTGAAAGAAGACCTGCAGGTCTTGTTCAGCTTGGTGTTGCAACGCCAACACCACTGACGAATGACCAAAAAAGCTCTTGGCAGCACAAGTCAAAAATCTTCCACAACCCGAAGATATCGGGCAAAATATCAAGTAGAATCTTGACTGAGTTCAAAACCTCTTCCAAAATTGCGGTAAGGTGTCTAGCGGCAGGAAGATAGTCCCGACACGCGTTCCGACAGAAGCGACCGAACTGCAAGGTCAAATCCTGTACATGGTAGGACGGTCTACGAGCACGACTGAGGAAGGTCAGTTCCACAAAGGTCAGACAGGGTGAGACAGTGGAAAGCCAGGAAACGGTTTTCTCCTACCGGACTTCAAGAATGACGAGGAAGCTCATCACTCTTCCAGAGCAAGAAACCATTGCCTGGAATTCAAGCACAATGGCCCCTTGTCTTCAGCAACACCTAGAACTTCGTGGAAGTCCATTCCAGAACATGCGCGTTGGAATTGCGTGAGGAAAGGTAAGATACATGTTCTCGAAACAAAGCGCCAGATGCAGCCAGTGCCGTTTCAGAAGGCCCGCTGTTCAGAAGGTCCCTCCCTATGGTTGAATTGCGGTGTCGACGTCGCAGGATTCCAATTTAAGGGATACTTCATCGTAGAGAGTCAAGCCCTACGACAAGTAGTTCGTCAATGAAGCCAAGCTGCTCGGACGTCAGTCATTGTTAGATGAAGGAGCCCTTGATCTTGCAAAGCCACACCCACCGAGACCTCTTTTGAACTGCACCTGCCTTAGACAGAACTAGCTGTCTGCGTATCAGAGCATTTTCAAGACTCGAGAGAAATAGAGTCCGCAAACGCACATTGATATGGCTCTGGAAGGGCATGCGCGTAAGGAAGAATTAGACACTGAAGAAGAAATCTGTGTCTGGCTTTGTTCTCTTTGACAACACCTGGCCTTCAATCTATCCTGCCGTGTTGCCACTATTTTGGCTCAAGGCCTTTCAGGTGTGCGTAATACTCGCTGCAGTGCCCGCAGCTAGGAGCTGGGTGTGCGACAAACCAGTCTTTCAGAACCAAGAGATAGGATCTGAAGGAGCATTTCCAAGGCTCCGTCAATCCCCGAGTCGAATTCCTTTCACTTCGAATAAGATCCAGCAGGCCAAGCGCCCCGTGTGTTGCTTAGGGCCCCTGCCACGGGGGGGGGGGGGGGCCTGGCAGTGGGAGGCCTCGGGTCGCGTCAAGGGGGATAGGCTGCATTCCATCACAACTTTCGGCACAAAGCAAATTAAACGAAAAACTGCTGCCAGGTGGCAAACACAACAATGGCATAAGCCCTCAAACTTCAAGGCTCAGCAGGCGGGTGAGGTCCGGCCAGCTTATTGCATCCTCTGCGCTCAGTCGCGGAGAAAAGCGCTCAAACCAGGAGATACGGGCTGTTGCAAAAAGTTGGGGCAGTTCTCATGAGGCTTGCAGCCGAAGGTGCGCCGACGATTCGGCACGTCTCACGCATGGCTGATCATTTCTGCACACATGTTTCAAAACTCGCCCAAGCCATAAGACTATGAGAAACTCAAAGTTCGACGCAAATGTGACTCTGTTGCGGCTCGCGCATCACACTGCCAGAACAGTCCCAGCCGTAAATCAGTCTGAGGGCACGGGAGCACAAGGTCGTACCTGTGGCCGCGAACAATCCACCGGTTTTACTCGTAATGGACGTGGGCAAATGAATGAGTCTGCCCGATTTGTGAGGGAAGTTCAGTGTCTCCACGCTTTCCCAGAACTGGCCAGCCACTAGGTTTCGAACAGCTGGTTTGAGCTACATCATCATCCCCTCCCAATTAGACTACTCATCTCCGGCGCATGCCTGGAAGCCCAACACATATGAGGCCCCTGCGCGTAATTGCTGTGAGGTGCGTTGGAGCCTGACGACAGCCTGGGAGAGAAGGAGGTCAGCTTCCATTTCTTTCCCACTGGCCAGCGAACGCGTGATCCGCAAGAAACAAAGTCAATCTGGCCAGAACGTGCCAAGCAACCTCAAAGACTCTGCTGCGTAGCAGCCACTTGTCTGACCAAAGCCTCGCTTTGATTGTCACAAGCTGTGGGCTGGACCCGCCTAACTTCGTCAGATTTTGGTCGACGCAGCCATGCAACGGTAGCCGTCAACCAGTTGGATAAATGCCCTCATGAGGGTTCTCCGCGCAAGGATGCAGGCTGGGCGCCGCACCTTTGCACGCGCAACACCACTGATGGGAGCGGCCCTTTTCGACCTCAAGGCAGCGGCTTGCTGTTGGGAAAGCGGGCATGGCGTGGAGGGCGCCTTGCACTTCTTGCAGCACAGACCTGACAACCTGTCAAGCGCTCCGTGCGCTGTGACTTGACACTCAAACTGCGCAGCACCGGCGTCGCACACCGCGCCTCTGACTTTGACCTCTTGAGTAATTCTTCCATTTGGCGAGCTGCTTGGCACTGACTTGGATAGAAGCATGTGTGGCTGGCGTGAAAGACCAAGGTGTCATTGCAAGCTGCCAGCCCCTCGTAAGCAAAAGAAAGCGGCAGCGCTCTGTTTCATGCCGCTCTCCTAGGAAGCTCGCATGTGCGCAGCCACCCCTGTTGCCAGCTCACTTTTTGAGGATCCGTCGATTGACCTTTGTGTTGCTGGCAGTGCCAAGGACATTGGCCGAACAGGTGGCCAAACCTGACGATATGTCCGCAGGATTCACCTTGTCGCACCTGTGTGCACGAATTCTTGAAGCCGCTAAGCGTGTGGCCACTGCGTCGAAATGCCGCCTGATCAACCCTGTCCGTGAGAACCTCCGAAGTGGCTCTAAGAAAAATGTGATACCACAGAAAGGCCAGTTGCAGCATGAACACACACCTTGCAGCTCCAGATTTTGAGAAACACAGCCTTCATCGTTAACTAAGGTCACCCGTTGCTGAAACCTGCGAGACGCTGGCAATGCTGAAGAAGACTCAGATTTTAAGCCAACAAACAAAATGAGCTGCAACTCCGACTGCTGAGGGGTCTGAGAATTGCGTCAAAACCCGGGCCGAACTCAGGTTTAACTTAAAAATGGCTCCCGCCCGCTGGCCAACCCAGACTGGCAAGCTACGCCCGGGTCGCACCAATGAAAGGTCAAAGCAATCAGCTTCCAGAGAAGCTGCATTGTATAACATGTGGATTTAGGAAAGAAAGATTGAAAAACACTTCCGTATGACAAACATTATTAAAAGGTAACTATCCGAAAAAAGAAGAAGAAAACACACGCGCGTACGAAAAACGTACCTAGACATTTAACAAGGGAATACAAAGAAGCGCGAAAATGACAAACCCTCTAAAAAATCCGGCGACATACGCAGAACGAATGCGGAACGGGTGGGGGATTGTCTCACAGGGCCGGCCCTCTGGCACGGACGCTCTTCTTTTGGAACATCAGCCTGCGTGACAGGCGCAACACTTTGGCAGCCTGAGGCACAGATTGCGCGCCACCAGCATGCAGCCGACGCAAGAGCGCACGTTCTGGAAATCCCTTTGCCACGGACGTGCGCGGTGTCACGCACGGGTCTTGCGGCAGGCAAGCACTTTTGCAGTACAAGGAGCAGATGTCGTGGCAGGCGCAGCATCTTTTGGGCCGTCAGGCGCAGGTGCAAAAAAAGGAAGCAGTCGATACAACCTATGCGCTAGAGACGGTACCACACGCTACGGAAGCAGAAAGAGAACCAAAGGGAGAAGGTGTCGGTGATGGGAGATCGCAACCTGGCCCGGATGGTCCGAGATGCTGATGGATTGGCATTGGACTTCAAGTGACCACAGTGTGAAGCACTGCGACTAAGTGGCTGCAGTTCGTGACAAATTCCACCAGCTTCAACAAAGCCCCTTCCAAAAGAGCGTGGTCGCAGGTTGGCATCGACATTGCGGAGTGGCTACCACCCAATTGTCAGAAGAAGTATAAGTTTATTCTTTGCATGGATCTGGCGACGAAGCAAAGGTGGAAGGCGTCTTGAAGACCTACACCTGGACCAGCAGCAGGCAGAGTCGGCGTGAACTTTGCTGCAGGGTGGTTGCCGCAGTGTGTGACACCAGACTCGGCAAAGACGCTTACATCAGTGAAGCTGCGGAGTACTACTTGTCAGACCTCAACATGGCGCTCACACATCCTGCGGAGAAGGCAGGCTCGGCGCGTGATGTCATCGAGAGTGCGATTAAGAACATCACGAACGCGGCAACTGTCATCCAGTCACCCTTCACGGACATGGGTCCGGAAGTGCTCTTCGCGATGGCAGCGACCGGACTGAGTCAATGCACGGTCATTGGCCGCACGATCGTGCAGTGTTCGGCTCACTGCGTGAGACCGTTGACGGAGGTTGAACAGGCAGTGGAAGAGATGCGGAATCAAGTCATCGATGAGGAGCCGAACGAAGACGATGAGGATAAAGTGAACCTTCCGGAGCAACCGCACATGTCCACGATGGCACCGGCGTCGAGACGGTCGCGACTCAAGCAACCGCGATCAGCGCCAGCTGGCTGTTGACGAGAAAGAGACGGGGGACGTCAACGATTTTGGTGCACTCCACCTAGACCGCTTCTGGCGGGCGACTTGGATGATGACCTAGGACTAGGCGATGGAAGACCTATGACCATTGGTGGATCGTCCAAGCACGGAGGTGAGAAGAACCCGACAAGAAACAACAGAAGACCGGCCATGGGAAGATGATGAGGAGTGGATGCACGAAGAAACGTGCAGAGCTCTTTCACGCCTTAGACGAGGTCAATGAGGGCTATTGGATGGAGTTGTTTTCAACGGATGGTTCACGTTCTTGGATTGGTATTGTTGCGCCGCCAGTGTTCCAACCCTTTGTCCACTGAGTGTGGCAGTGGGGCGATAGCGTTTGGGGGGTGGTGGCGCGGACCCCCCTGCCTCAATATCCTTTGTGCTCTGGCCTCTCAACAGGAAGATTGTTTACAAATTTGTTCGCCCTGGGTTGTACTTGGCTTTCCTAGGCTTTCCAAAACTTCCTAACACACAAAAACACAAGAATTTTGCAGATGACGCGAAAGACATGGGCGCTGCCACGATTGAGAAAACGTGTGTATTGATCCGAAAGGCACTTCCCAAAAGATTGGTGTAAATATGGAACAGAAAGGTGCTCCGGGCACACGAATGCTAAATTTCAACCAGGTGCTGCCACGTTCAACACAACAAAGACGCTCCGGGTTTGAAGGCTGCTTCTCGGGACGCACCTTGCTTGCTGCTGCCAAGACTTTGCTGCGTCGGGCCGGTTGACGAGTCTGTTTGTAAATCTGATCTGCGTGTGGTATTTGTGTTGACTTGCGTTGCCATTGCCAACCCTCACGGCCTCTCAGCTGGAATAGTGCCAGCCCACATCAAACGTGTCCTTTCAATCAGCCTGAGTCACGCTATGCCAACTGAACTGAAAAGAATCCTTTAAAATTGTGAAGCGGTTGAGGACGATTTGGAAGGCTTGAATGGTATCAAGACAGTTGTTCGATTATTACTGACGGGTGATTGATAGTACAAGCTTCCGTGGAAATATCATGCGTTGCACTACGTGTGGGTCGAACGCCCTTTCATTTCATCCCCCCTGCGTTAGCGCCTTGACCCATTCGGCGCAGAGCGCATCAGGAGGAGGGCTCCAATTTAATGATGAACTTCTCATGTAAATGCAATAATTATTGCCCAGCGCCAGTGCCCAGCACAGTGGCCCGAGACTTTGCTCTTCAAATGTGCGCTGGGCGAGAGGAATTTTGAAGCTCGCAGACTACCGCGCCAAGGCAGGCTCGCCAACCTGACGCCTGGGAGCCAGATTGGGTGTCATTGGTACAACCGCGAGCGGGTCACGGCGAGCGTGGTGGCAGTTCTCAAATTTGACGGGATCGATGACACGCTGAACAAGCTTGGGCCGGAAAAGCTGTTACCAGAAGTCACTAGATTCGACGCCTGTCACTACTTAAGCTCTTTTTGCCATGTGTTTAATTGAAATTTGCCTGCGATCAAATGAAGAGCGGCCCATACTTGTTTGCATCCTTCCCCAAGTCCAGAATGGTCTGAAATTTGGGCCTGCGCTGTCCATTCAGTCTCAGTTTCAGCCATGGATGCGGCATTCACAAAAAACCTTTTCCAAAGCTGAAGCTGAAACACTGGACTTGTCTCTGCGTAAATGTCATGGCCTGTTGCAGGAACGCACTGCTCCCGGGCGTGAGATCATGGCTTGTAGACAAATAGCGCACAGATTCACTGCGACAATTGTGCGCTGCACACATGTTGATCTGTTTGTGCACGCCACACGTGCTGCTGATCTGTTTGGGGCGCTGTGTCTTATGTGTTCGGCCTTGATCGGACATGCGTGTGTTGACGCATGATCATACGCACGTGCGGTGGCAGGGGTGTCATTTCAAGCTGCCCGCCTGGCGCTTGATATGGATCATAAGCCAGCGCAGCGCATCTATTGCAACCTGGGAATCGTCCCGCGCAGTATATCACCATGAAGGAGAAGGAGCTACGGCGGTGGCTGGGAGGACATCGAAGTGGACTGGCGAGACCATCAAGACCTCAACCCGAAAATGACCAAGAAGCGCTCGCCAGGCCCCGGGCCCATCCGAAAGGTGGACCGGGCGCCGGTTGCCAACAAGCACCTCGCAAACCGCAAGCCAGTGCTGCGCCCGGAAGGTGCACGAGCCTACAAGCTAAAGGTGTCGGAGGTAATGCGCTGCAACGTGGAGCGCAAGAAAAAGCAGATGAAGGTCGGCAACAAGGCTGGGGCATGGTTGCAAACATCTGATTGAACACACACACATGGTCGGTCATCCCTGCTGCAAGGCTTCAGCCGATCGACGCTCATGTCTTCTGAGAGTCGTTGGATAGGGGCTTGGGCCATTGAGTCAGCTCCGTCTGGGCAGCGCCTGTCGGCAAAAGGTGTAGTTTCACATGAAAGCGCACATGCTTTTTGAACATTTGCCAATATGACATCAACATAAACAATAGCTGCTACGTGAAACTGCTACCAACCACTTGTCATGATTAAAAAAGGATTTGGGTACCTGGTTTCAATCCTTCCACGGCATGACATGACTCAGGCTGATTGAAAGGAAATGTTTGGCAGGCCTCCTCGGCTGACACCTCTCACTCTCTCTCTGTCTGTCTCTGTCTTTCTGCCCCTCTCTCCGTGCGATTTCCTAGTGTTTTTGACGGAGAGCGTGGGCGGGTGCGCTTACTTACCATGTGTCAGGCATGCAACACAGACGCAGGCGTGCGAGCATCGGGGGGCCGGCGTGTGAACAAAACCCGTTCCGCGGGTCGGTGAAAGGTCCGCTTGCTTAAACATCCCGGCTGCAAGAGGTCTATGGAATTGACCAGGCTTCATCAAGAGCCACCTAGAGATGGACCAAAAACCATGAAAACGCTACGCCGGTTTCCGGGGCGTAGGAACAAACATGCACAAATATGCAAAACACCTCGAAGAAACGAACACAAACAAAACGCTCAGACCCATGTCGCGGAGTGTTTTGTTTGCTTGTTTTTGAGGTTTTCACACTTCTCCCAAGAAGTCAAAAAGCCCTTACAGCAAGCGAAAGAACAACAAGAAAACAGTATCCTAAACCCTGGACCCCGCCCCGATGGGTGTTTTATTTTTGTTCCAGATGCAAATGCAAATGCGCATTCTTCCACCTTTAGCTTGCTTTCATGAAGGAACCGCACGCGCAGGGTAGTTTTCCGTTAGAAACCGCGGCTCCTTTTTGCACAGGCGTTTCTCCTTTTGCTTAACGCCCGCACTAGTGAACGCAAAAGACCACACACCTAAGGGCGTCCTGATTTGGTCATAGCCGAGTGATTGCACCATATCTGTCTATGTAATTTGATTTGTACATCTGCAAAGAGTTCGGGCTGCAGCACCTGTATGCTGCTCAAAGCTCCTTCTGCGCACACGCCACCTTTTCGCGCTCCTGCACTTCTTGTGCCGGGAAGCGCCGCCCCTGAATCACATCAGCAGGAAGAGGACAGTCTCACCAACCCACTCCACAACTGCCGAACACAGGAGTCCAGAATTGGCCAGATCTGTTTTTGCTGGACTGGAAAACTGCCTCAAATGGTTTAGTGCCAGCCAAGCTGCCACGTGCTATCAGTCCATCTCATTCAGGTCGACCACTACCTGCGCAAGGACATACCATGGTGGTTGCGCCACAGAACCAGGTCAGTCAGGGCCGCGAACCTTGCGCTACGTGACACATTGACGTTGAAACGGCGTCAACGTTGGGCCGCGGCCCTACTGCTCCGCCTTCAAACGCCGATGGATGCCCTTCTGGGCCAAATAAACTGACGCCTGCAGACAGCCGCAGCACATGTGCCACAAACAAAGCAGTTGTCCCTTTGTTGCTTCTTCTTTACCAAGCAAAACATCAAGATGGTTGAACCACAATTTTGAAAAGCAGACTTCTGCAGCGCCCTCTTTGCATTCCACTGCGATTTGAAAACAGTTGCGATGGGCCGCTGCCTCGCCCCAGGACATCGGCAACCGAAGCTCCTGAGAGCAAGGGGAACTGCTCTAGGTGCGCACGGTCACCGCGTGACCATGCGTGACCCTGTTGGCTTGCCCTTAAACGGTGTGAAGCCAAAAGAAAATAAAACCAAACGCACCAACCGAAACACCCAAATGCAAGTGGAACTCACAGTAATTGGGGGCCCCTCGCATCTCTCAGCGTGCAATGATCCAACTTGCCTGGCTACATTGCACGGGGTGCCAGTTTGTTGCTTAGCGAACGCCTTTTTTGCAAAGGTTCCGTTTCCAAGCTCTAGCCAGCGCGCGCGCCTGGTTCCACAAAAGGCTGTTTCTTTGAACACCAAATCCAAACCAACCATTCTTGAGTCAACTTCCTCTTGAGGCGCCCCTTTGCTTGCGCGTCTGCTGTGGCACACAGCGATCCTCCACAGGCTCGAGGCCCTCCCCCGCCTGTGGCCGGCCAGACAGTTGTCCAATATTCCCCAATACTTTTCTGATGGCTCCAAAGCCTGATGTTGAGCGGGTCATACCAGGTCTGACTTTCTAGGTTGGCGCTCATGAACCACGCAAAAACCCTGCATTAACACACCGCTGACGAGGCCTGGCTGGCTCCCTTCGTCGCATTCTACCCGGAACATTCCCAGCGGCTAACTGTCCCCAAAGCAGCCTAGCTTTAGAGCCAACGCCCAAGCTACAGGTTATCCCTCTTAACAGCGGAAACGCGCTGGAAGGCTTTGGAAGACCATGGTTCAAAGAGGAGGCATCCCGCTACCCGAGCCGGCCCGCCTTGGCAATGGGGTGTCGAACGGTTGCCACCACGCCGCCATCTGGCAAAGCCTAATGGCCATGGCACTGTCCTCCGTGCATGTGTGTATGCGTGAAAAGTCAAACAAGAAGAGCCGGCAAAGCTGGTAGGCGGAAGGTTGAAGATATGTAAAAGTGATTGGCTTCTTTATCCTGGTCTCTCTCTCCCGCGCTCTCTGTCCCTTTCTCTCCCGCTCTCTCTTCCCCTTGTGTCGCTCTTTCTCTCTCTTTCTCTGTCTTCTTCATTCACTCTTTGCTCTCCTTCTCGTTCTCTTTTTGTGTGTTTTGTTTTTGTTTTCTGTCTTCTCTTGTTCTTTCCCTTCTCTTGTTTGTCTTTCTCCTTCTCTTTGGTTTCTTTGCCTTTCGCTTCTTCATGGCTCTCCTCTTTCTATCTTGCTATCCATGCTGTTTGCGTAGCTATGTGTTGCGTCTACCTACCTATCAATCCATTCCTTCATCCATCCGTTCATCCAGAATCTGTGCCACCTATCACCTATCCATCTATCTACTGACCTATCATATTTACTCCACCTGTCTGATCTCACTTGCAATCCAGCTGTTTATCAGTCTAAGAACGATCTCAATCTATTTCTCCATCTAATCTATCTCTCTACTCTCACACCTGTTTCTACCCTTCTGTTTCTCAACCTACCTATCTATCGATCTGTCTGTCACGGCCTAACCTTGCGACAGCGCTGCGCTGTCCCGAAAAGTCTGAACCTTCTCTTGTGAAAACGCTGCTTTTAAAACATCACCTTGCTGCGAAATCTGAACCTGGCCTTTTCAAAGCACGGCGCCTGCCGTGGGATGTGTAGCTGACCTTGCCAAAACGATGCGCTTGCCTCGACATCTACAGCCCTCAGCCTTGTAAAAGCTTTGCGCCTGCCACGAAATCTGTACCTCATCAAGTTGCGAAAAGCTCGCGGGTCCGCGCAACTGGGCTCGTCGCCAAGCCCGCTCCAAGCCCGCCTAGTCAGGCGTCGCACCGGAGGTGGCTTGTGCGCACAAGTGCAGAAAAGCCGAGTTCGCGCGCAGGGCAGCTTCTGCCCGCTTCTATACTTCTGACTAGCGTCTTCGTCCCCGTGCTGCAGAAGTCCGAAACACTAAATTGCTTTTGCTACCCTTCAAATCCTCCGCGCGCAGAATAGGCCGGGAACTACTCTAGTTTCGGGAAACACTTTCAGAAAGGGACGGTTAACGAAACAGGCAGCCACGACTCAGCCGCCTTGTCACCTTGCGTGACGCCTCTCAAACATGATCGTGAAGCTTTGCTTACATCGAGAGGGCATAAGCTGATCTCCGCAAGCCCACATCACGTTCGCAACCTGAACGCTACAACCATACTAGTAAGAGGGGTCATGGAGAGCTTTCTCGAAGAAAGCAGATTTTCTTCAAAGGAGGACCCGCGCGCAGCCGCAAATCCACGCGACAGTGCGAGCCGCCTCCTATCCAAGCACCTTTCCATTCCGGAGAAGGGATCTCTCCAGCCCAAGCGGGCCGCAGAAATGGGCGCGGCGCGCTCGTGCGATGGCAAACAGAACCTTCGCAAAACGACCGCAAAAAACGAACATGGCGCCGCGCGCTCGCGCAACTGCGCAGACCTCCCGCAGCGGTGGCGCGAAGCCCGTGGCGCATCCCTGCGGAATCGTCTTTGCGCTATCTCAGTATTCTATTTCGCGCAATCTCCTAGGCGATCTAGGCAATCTCTTGGCAACATAGCTGCGCTTTGCAAAGAACAAGTCAAAAACCGCAATCTGCTCTGCTTTGCGCAGACGCAACTTAGCCGCGCCCTGCGCTTTGCGAGTGGGATCAGGCCACAGGTGGGCAAAGCCAAGGGGAGCGCCTGTGCCAGTCGGCGCCGGAGTATTGACAACGATGGCCTCGGTAGCTGGAGCGCACGAAAACCAGGCCTCGTTCAAATGGGTGGTGTCATGTAGGTTCCTTCGACAAACTGCAGTAAAATGGCAAGCTAGGGTTGGAAGCACGTCCGCTTCAAGCTCCGTGCTCTGTCCAACTGCCAGCGTTGAGCAGAACCATGGACGCTCCCTCCAGAGGCACCTCGCGTTCAACACACGAAAACACGTGCTTTTTTGGTCTGCGTTTGAAACGAATTGTCCCTCTTCGCCTTTTGAATCAGTTCTGATCGCCACGCTTGCAAATGCTGACTTTTATCCCAGTCACAGGCCTGCTCCATATCATCTTCCACAACTTCCACGACGGCCTAGCCGGAGATCGGCTACCACTGCAAATTGCCTTAAGGCGGGCAATGATCCCCTAACAAGTCAGTTTCATTGACCGAAACCCAGTAGGACTCCAAATATCTAGCGCTCAAATCATGCGTGTTAGGCTACTTGTCATGTTGCTGTGCTTCATCAAAGCCTGCTATGCGCTCCCGCGCTGCTCGATTGACGCAAACTGCAAACGCCTCTAACATATTGCTTTTTATGTGTGAAATGCGCAAAACGAAGAAAACACTCGCCAATGGCTGGCTGTGCTCCTTCAATCACACCGTAGAGCGCCAGCACTGCCTCCCCTGCTCGCGCGTGGGCAGGCGCTTGCGCAAGCAAGGGGAGGGAGGGATTTTACCCATTTGTTGGGTGGCTGGCACCATGGAAAGGCATGGCCGGCACCAGGCAACATGGGAAAAAAGCGGATTTGGTAAACACCGCAAAACCCCTTTCCCTCCCCTTCCCCGTTGCTCCGAGACATGATTTCAGCTTCTCACAATTAGCGCTCTTGCTCAGAACAGTAAGGGGCACACACTTTTGCCTCCTGAAGTATACGCCCCGCCCTCGCCGTGAAACCACCTTCCGCCTGCTGGCCTGAAAGGAACAACTAGATCATAGAAAGGAAGGGCAGGATGGTCTCTTTAAGAAAAATCTTTAAAAACTTCGTTCACGGGAGCTAGTGGGTCTTGACACTGAGCCAATGAGAACCTTCCAAGGGCCTAAACAACTCGCTTTCTTGGTGAGTGAGCCTCGACCAAAAAGAAGAGAGTTCCTGTAAAAAAGTCTCATCATAAGTGGGTCAGGGCACCCCCGACTCCAACCCTGAATCAGTCCTAACTTGATCAACCCACGTGTACCAACCAACCCTACAACCGCCCTGAACCAGCCATCCTAAGGCTGCAGCACAATCACAGGAACACAAAAATTGATATACATGCAGAACACATGGGTGCAGAAACATATGTCTGGATATATATACACATATATGGTACCCCCCCCCCCCGCAGCGCTTTGCCACCAAAACCTGCATCTGCCAGAACACACACTTTTCAGGCCCACTGTCTGCATCTGTTAAAAGCGTCTCATTTGGCAGCCAATGCTGCAACCAAGCACTCTGATTGCGTAAGGGCATCTCTTCAAGGAAGCGCGCTGGAAACTGAAAAATAGAAAAATGAAAGCTGAAAACATTGAAAGACTGAAAAAATGAAAAACAAAGGATTCAGGGGGACATGCCCCGCAGGCATGTCCCCTAAATCCTTGGTTTTTCATTGTTTCATTTTCCAATTTTTCCAATTTTTCAGTTTTTTCAGTTTTCTCCTCATATTCACCTTTACTATTCCTCTAGTATTGTCTGAGCAACCAAGCATTATGATTGCGTAAGGGCATCTCTTCAGGAAGCGCTCTGTAAACTGAGAAAACTTAAAAAAAAACTGACCAAAACTGAAAAATCAAGGATTCAGGGGGACATGGAGGCCCCCAGGCATGTTCCCCTAAATCCTTGGTTCTTCATTTTTCCAATTTTTCAGGCTTTTTTCAATTTTCAATTTTTCAGTTTTCTCGTAGTATTCACCTCTATGATTCCCCTAGTATTCTCCTAGTGTTCACCTCTATTGGTGCCCTAGTATTCCCTGAGTATTTCCTTTGTATTGCCCCCTAGTATTAGGGGAATAGCTTTAGTATTGCCCTTGTACTCCTTAAGTGTCGTTTGGTATACCCCTAGTATTCTCTCAGCATTTTTCTAGAATTCTTCCAGTATTCACCTTTAGTATTCCCATAAGTACTTCCGCCTAGTATTACCCTAGCCAGGAAGCCTGACGAGCTTGAGAGTTTCCGCCTAGTTCCCGCAATATTCCCACGTAGTATTTCATCCCAGTATTCACCTTCAATACTGCACTAGTATTGCCTGAGTATGTACCTCATATAGCCCTTACTATTGCCCTAGTATTCCTTTAAATTCGCTTGGTATACCACAAGTGTTTCCTCACTACCCCCTAGTGTTCCCCAAATATTTCACTAGTAAAGGAAGTTGAATTTTAAGGGAAGACCTTCAGTTTTCTTAAACTAACTAGGCAGCTAAATAGATAGCTACCTGATTAGCAAATTACTAGCTAAGTTCAGAATTCTTGGGTTTTTAGCATTTTTCACAAAAACCCAGAAAGCCTCGAAAAAAACCAAGAATCCAAGATTTTCAGGTAGATGTTTGGTCCACTACAAAATTTTGGATTCTTGGTTTTCAAGGTTTTCTTAATTTTGCTGGGGAATTCTTGCAAAGGGGGGGTCCTGTGTCCGCTCTGGAAAGGAAAGGGCGACAAAACACCGCTCGATGCACACCGGTCCATACTGCTTGCCCCCAGCATAGCTAAAGTCTTGCAAGCATTGCTACGCTCGCAGCTTGAGCCGCGACTTGCGCCACGCTTTCAGCCCCTGCAACTTGGGAGGCCAGGGCAGCACTTGCTGCACGCGAGCCACACTGTGAGAACATGGTTTGCCATTGGCTGCGCAAAGCACAACCCAGTTTCTGCTTTGTTTCTCGACGCGCAAGCCGCCTTCCATTCCCTCATCAGAGAACTTGGGGCGGGGTTGCCAGCGGGCTACAAAACCTAATACAAAACTTGCACTGTCTGAAAGCCAGCAACAAGCTATCTGGGACACCCTGCATTGCCAAACATTGCCGTGGGTTGAGTAGCTCCCCGGCAACCTTGCAGCCCAGCTGCAGAACCAAACGAACACTTACTTCACTTGCCTTGAAACGGACGAAACTACAGAAGCACGCGTCGGGACCCGCTTGCCGATTTGCTGTTCAACGCAGCAATGACAGCTGTGTTGCAGCAGATTTCCAGGACGCAGGCGTTACTGCCACAGGCAAGGACGAACTCGAGTGTCCTTGCCCCCCCGTAGCTTGGCTCGACGATGTAGCCCAGAAGAACTCACTCAGCACATGTGCCAAGCGTTTCAAATCGCAGACAGCGCTTTCAAAGCCAGAGGGCTAGCGCCAAACAGCAGCGCAGGAAAGACCGAATTTTGCGTCGCTTTCCAGGGAAAGGGGGGCCCGACAAGTGCTAGTTGCGAACCAGAAGGCCACCGTGCATGTTCGGACCGCAGCAGGCGCGGCTGACGTCCCAGTCCGCGTAGCGCAGTCCTACAAACATTTAGGAACGGTGATGCGCCCTGAGGGAGACTTGTGGTTTGAGGTCGTGCGCAGAGTTGCCGGCGCAACGGACGCCATACAGGTTTTGCGTTAAGTTGCGTTTCGCAATAAAGCGCTCGGGCTAGGACACTAAGCGCTTCTTGCTGCAAGGGGTTGTTGTGAGTAGGCTCTTGTTTGGCAGTGGCGTGTGGGGCAGCATGTCGCAAAAAGCTTTCAGGGTCATAGCCGAGCTTGGCGTGCCGGGGGTTAACCCTGTAAGTGAGCAGCATTGGGGGAACCTGACAGTGATGATCAATGAATGCCACGTTTCCAAGCGTATTTGATTCAAGTCCACTTGTCTTGTTTCGGGGTGGTGCTTGTTTTGCCGCTTGGCGAAGCGCACGAGTTCGAAATCGAAATTGCTAGCTTGGAGAAAAGCTGGTCGATTCTGCCTAGGCAAGAGGAAGTGTTATCAATAGATGGCGCAACCGGATCTGGCTGAGCGGTCGGCCGGCCTTCTTGTTGGTGATGAACCTGCTTCTTCGGTGATGAAGGTGAAGATGGTCCTCCTACCTTTCCGCAGGTTTACGAATGGTTTGTTTGCCTGGATGTAAGTCTGCAGTTGTCCTCAAGGATTTCGGGATCTCCACCTTTCGTCGCACCAAGTTTCTGAGCGCTGACATTGTCAGGAGTGACTGGACATTCCTTGGCTCCTGGTGCTGTGAACAATGCCTTCCCAGTCGTGATGTGAACACAAGTGAGCTGCTTGTTCTTCAGGGCAAGACCCCAGCGATCCTGCCTTTGTGATCCAATGATCTTGGGAATTGCTGTGTCATCTTTGGGTTCGCATGACTTGCGTGCGCAAACAAGTTCTGACTTGGATGTTTCCGACCGGGGAGACTTGAAGCTGCTGTCGTCATCGTAGACATAGTTGTTGAGGCCTTTCGCAGCAACTTCTCCGTGACACAACTGGTTTGTTTGCCACGCCTGCCAGATCTCAAAGCCTTCAGATGCCGGTTGGAGTGACAAAGTTCCAACATCAGGACACCTACGTCACCGACGAAGAAGCACACAATATGTGAGTGACGACCGCTCACAGCCTGCCAGCAACAAAGCTAAGGGCGCCGGTCATCAACCCGAAGCGCATCCCAACCTGCGCAATCCTTGGCAACGGATGCGCTAGATCTATGGGCAGCTGGCGTGCCAGCCATCGGACCAATGAGGAGCCTTGTTTGCTATGAGTGCATTCGAAGTTCTCTTTTGCTACCAAAAGTCAGCTGGACCTTGCTTGTGGGGTGCCACACGTCTCCTCCAGTACAGTTTCCTCATCTGACCATTGAGCACACTCCTCAGTGCGAAGCCTTTGGCGTGCACCATCAAGCAGTCCAGTATCAGGCGCCAGACATGCTCTAGTTGAGATCAGCAGCCTGCTGGATGGCGCGCTTCTCCTCTGGTTCTTCTGCAACGGCGGCAAATGTCTTGGACTTGCCCTTGTCCTATCCGCCTTTTCCGTTCCCATAACCATAGGATGATGGATAACCTTTGTTTCTATCGAAAGGATACTGGAATTTTGATTTTTGTCGTAGGGATCGTCGTATTCGTTGGCCAAATGGGCTCTGCCGTCGGCGGCGCTCTTCCTGAAAGGTTTGAGCCACCTCGCGACAACTTTTTGTGGGTGGCAATGGACGCGTCGTTTTCCGAGGATTCAGAATGTCTCCCCATCTCCTGCTGCGATGAAGCTTTCATGTCCATCATCATCTTCAACCCAATCGCAGGGCTTCTCCTTCATACTCTGCTCGAGAATGTAGGAGGTATTGTTGCTGTTGCCTCCTTGAGGATGTTCTTGTTGCGATGAGGAGGGTGTGA